ATTTCAACAGAAAACTATTTTATTTTCTTATCAGTAAAAAAAATATTTAATTTTTCATATTTAATAAATTTTTAATTTTTTTAATAAAAATGTTTTTTAATTTATATAGAATAAAAATTCTTCTATTAAATAAAAAATAATAAATTAAAAAATGGTCCTTCTTTTTTTGCACGAATATTCATAAAATAATCACTGTATATATATATATGTAGAAAAAGCAGAAGGGACAATTTTAAATTTTTCAACGGAACATTTATATTTCATTGTCTCGCGAAAAATGCATGAAAGGTTATTCAACGATTATTGTGCACTGGTATACGAAATTGTGCGGATTTTTCTCTATAGCAACTCTTACTATCAATTTAAAGTCTCAAAAAAAGCCTTTTTACATGTAAATTTAAGTGCCTGTGTTTATTTTACTAAACAACTCTTAAATTCAGAGTAAAATACCATAATTTGATAATAATTATTTCTTCTTTTAGAAATTATTACATTTAAATTTTTTTCTCATATATATATGAGAAAAAAATTTAAATGTAATAATTTATATATATATAAATGCGCTTATATAAAAACCATAAAAGTTACAATCAAATAAAAACTATAAAATTTACAATCAAAGAAAAACTATAAAATTTACAATCGAGTAAAAAACTATAAAATTTACAATTAAATAAAAACTATAAAATTTACAATTAAATAAGAACTATGAAATTTACAATTAAATAAAAACTATAAAATTTTCAAATTAAATAAAATATGTAAAATTTACCATTTTGTCTCTAACTTCGAATTAGTAAAAAATTAAAAATATTAACTAATTTGAATTAGTGACTCACTGCTTGCTTTTAAATTTGTTAAATCTTACTAATTCGATAGTAAAAAATTTTTTTTTTACTATTAGTTAAATTTTACGAATTCTTCAGTAAAAAAAAATTCATTAGTTAAATTTGAGTAATTAAATAGTAAACAAATTTTTTCAACTATTAAATAGTTATATTTTACTAATTCGATGGTAAAAAAATATTTTTTACTATTAATTTGTAAAACGTAAATATTTAATAGTAGAAAAAAATTTTAACTAATAAATTAGTAAAATTCAGCTAATGAATCGTGATAATAATTAGTAAATGAATTCTATGAATTAGTAAAATTTAACTAATAACGATTTTTTTTTACTATTTTTAGTAAAATTTAACTAATAACGATTTTTTTTACTATTTTTAGTTAAATTTAACTAATTCAAAAGCAAAAAACTAATTCTTAGTTAAAATTTTTACAAATTCAGATTTAGCAAGTAAATTGAATAAAATTTACAGTGAAATAAAAACTAAATTAGTAAATTTTCGTACATTGGTAAATAATAATTGTATTTTCTAATATGTAAATAATTAGTATTGAAGTCTTTACTTGCATAAATGAAATGAATTGCAGATGTCACAGTTTACGAGATATTGCAAGGTAAACTTGAATATTATCTATATGGAACATTGTTGGAGATAACCAGGTATGAGCGCACATCTGCATTCGAGTTAGTGCGTTTGTTTCATCCTCCCTCTCTCTCTCTCACTTGCTCTATCCCAAACCCTATCCTCAGCATCAACAACATAGTGGAAATGGTACACCATTTACGCCAAACCCCACCTTCTTGCTAATTTCACGTCAGAAAATACACTAACACAATAATTGGCTCTGTTGGCAAATGTCGTGAAAGACGGTCCCTTATTAAACTAAAAGCCAAAAACCTTTTTCAAAGGAAAAGTCAAAAAAAAAAAAATTTTCTACACTAAAATCCACATGGCGAAACAAAGCGGAGAGTAGAATTTAATGGTTAATGCCCTTTTTCGGTTGTCTTCATTCTTTCACAGGTCTTATTGCACATGAGGGTAGGGGAAAAAAAATTACCTTCAACTTTGAACCTCTTTCAGTACACTCAGTTTCAAAATTAAAAAAAATATATATTTTTAAAATACTTCAAATTATTATTTATTGCCTTTCGAAATAAATCATTTTTTATTTTTAAATTAAAAAAATAATATTTTTAATTGGAAAAATATTTATTTTACTACAAAGAAAATTATTAAATATATCTATATAATGAGAAAATTAGTTTGTTTTTTTTTTTTTTGCAAATGTCCAATTTTAAAACAACTTAAAAAAAAAAGCAATTTTTGTCCCCCATTTTAAAAACTTGATATAAAACACAAGTTTAATTAATTTTTAGCCCGAGTGTACTGACTACAAACTAAAACTTCTTAAACTCGAATGAGAAGTGTATTACATTTACTTCATCTGCATAGTTGAATAGATATAGAGAATATTCTAAGAAAATTTCAGCGGAAAATTCTGATAAACACGATGCAGAGACTAGAATTTTCTTAAAATAAAAGCAAAGTGATCTAGACAATATGTAACATAAAATTTACAAAAAAAAAAAAAAAAAAAACTGAAATTTTTCTCCAAAAATTAGAAAATTTTTAAAGATAGATTTTTCCCAACATGCCAATTGATTTTTAATTAAAATTAAATTTTAATCTTCAAAAATAGAAATTTTTTTTTGTTCCTCTAAAAAATTGGAAACTTCTTGAATAAGGACAGAGATTTATGTGTGTTCCTCTAAAAAATTTGAAAATTCTTGAATAAGGGCAGAGATTTTTTCCCAACAATTGATTTTTAATTAAAATTAAATTTTAATCTTCAAAAACAGAAATTTTTTTTTGTTCCTCTAAAAAATTGGAAACTTCTTGAATAAGGGCAGAGATTTTTTTTTGTTCCTCTAAAAAATTGGAAACTTCTTGAATAAGGACAGAGATTTTTGTTTGTTCCTCTAAAAAATTGGAAACTTCTTGAATAAGGACTGAGATTTTTTTTTGGTTCCTCTAAAAAATTGGAAAATTCTTGAATAAGGGCAGAAATTTTTTCCCAACAATTGATCTTTAATTAAAATTAATTTTTAATTTTTAAAAAGTGAAATTTTTTTTGTTCCTCTAAAAAATTGGAAACTTCTTGAATAAGGACAGAGATTTTTGTTTGTTCCTCTAAAAAATTGGAAACTTCTTGAATAAGGAAAGAGAATTTTTTTGTTCCTCTAAAAAATTAGAAAATTCTTGAATAAGGGCAGAGATTTTTTTCCAACAATTGATTTTTAATTAAAATTAAATTTTAATCTTCAAAAACAGAAATTTTTTTTGTTCCTCTAAAAAATTGGAAACTTCTTGAATAAGGGCAGAGATTTTTTTTTGTTCCTCTAAAAAATTGGAAACTTCTTGAATAAGGACAGAGATTTTTTTTGTTCCTCTAAAAAATTGGAAACTTCTTGAATAAGGACAGAGATTTTTTTTTGTTCCTCTAAAAAATTGGAAAATTCTTGAATAAGGGCAGAAATTTTTTCCCAACAATTGATTTTTAATTAAAATTAATTTTTAATTTTAAAAAAGTGAAATTTTTTTTGTTCCTCTCGAAAATTGGAAAATTCTTGAATAAGGACAGAGATTTTTTTTTTCCTCTAAAAAATTGGAAAATTCTTGAATAAGGGCAGACATTTTTTCCCAACAATTGATTTTTAATTAAAATTAATTTTTAATTTTAAAAAAGGTGAAATTTTTTTTGTTCCTCTCGAAAATTGGAAAATTCTTGAATATTGGCAGAGATTTTTTCCCAACATGCTAATTGCGATACTCGATATAATATATATATATATGTATATGTGGTGCGATGTCAGCGACAACAGGCGCTCTTAAGGAAGTTTACCCACCTGTCCTGATAATGTCGCTTAATATCATGTAAATGTAAATTAATATTCATGGAACTAATTCCCCTTTGCGCACAATTCTCTCTACTGTGTGAAAGTTTCGGTCCAAAATTTACGATCGGCCGCAAAACATATTTCCTAACGAAATCGTACGCTATATATATATATATATATATATATATACGCGAACTGCTGCACCAGCACAAAGTGTGCGCAGCTTCTGCTTCTACTCGACGGTGCCAGAATAATGATAATAATTTTCTTTGCTGTTGGACACGCTGCAGAGGCAATTTCTCAAACGTAAAGTCTCGTTTCAACTCGTTGGGAAAAGCCATGTAAAAAATGTAAGACTTCCCACACTTTTTAAAGCGTAGAATAAAGCACAAGGGACTCTTAAACTTTTTCAACTAACTTTCTATATATTATATTGAGAAATAATACAATAGTTTCAATTTGAAAATAAGAATTACCCAAAAAATAATTTTTCAGGCACAATTATGAAAATGAAAAACAAAAAACCTCGGAAAAGAGACAAAATTGTCGTTTCTAAAGATCCACAGCTGCGAGTCACGTGAAAACTGCCTAGTGAGCTTCAATAGTAGTAAAACGAAAAGACCTCTTGTTCTCGATTCCACTCGGTTTTACCACGATGATAACCATAACCACTAGCAAGTGTGTTTCGTACCCCGTTTCAAAAAATTCGGTGAACAATATGTTTTTCTTTTCGCATCTCATTTCTCTTCAAAATGATAATTACAAAACTCACAAAATGAAGCTATGCGCAAAAAAAAGGAAAAAATATTGAGGAAAAAAACTCTCAAAATGAAAACGTTAATAAAGACTTCGTAAATAAAAAAGTTTTGTAATTTTTCAATTTTAATATTATTTTATAATTAATATTATTAATTATTATAAATAATAATTAAATCAATTGAATTTTTTTTGTATATTCTTAAAAAGAAACAAAATCAATCTGTTCGACATCCAATATCCACTTATAAATATAAAACATCAATATATCGTTAATCAAGCGAAAAAAAATCACTGGATTGAAATTATAAATATCTATTTAAATATGAATTACAGTGACAAGTGGAATACTAATTAACATTTTAATTAGAAAATTATAAAAACTTAATCAAAAAGTCAATAACCAATTCAAAAATTGAAAACTTTTTACAAAATTCAGATTTAGAATAATTTTAATTTATAATAAATTTTCAATTTATAAAAAATAAAAATGACTCACCATGGATCCCGAGGATCTGGCAGTGTCCTGTGAACTGAGATGAGATCACTGACATATTGATTAAAGGCGTTATTTAACCATCCATCGTCCACTAATTTTTTTATCTCAACAGTAAGATTTGTTGGTAAAACCACTGGTCTTCCATTCTCACCAGGTGCTGCAGGATCTATATCTCTTGGAGCTAAAAGAACTCCGCCACCTGTGTTGATAAAAAAAAATTATCAGTTTTTTGAAAAATGAACCCATAAAAATTATTATCGCCATAGAAATCTATCATACCAACTGATGGTAAAACAGGTTTTTTGAAAATTAAAATATAAAAAATTACCGACATAGAAATCTACTTTACCGACTGATGGTAAAATAGGTTTTTTATAAAAAATATAAAAAATTACCGACGTAGAAATCTACCTTACCGACTGATGGTAAAATAGGTTTTTTTGGAAGATTAAAATATAAAAATTACAGATATAGAAATCCACCTTACCATCAATCGGTAAGGTAGATTTCTGTGGCAGTAATTTTTATCTTTTAATTTTCCAAAAAAAACCTATTTTACCATCAGTCGGTAAGGTAGATTTCTAGGTCGTTAATTTATATATTTTTATTTTCAAAAAACCTGTTTTAACATCAATCGGTAAGGTAGATTTCTATGTCGTTAAATTTTTATATTTTAATTTTCCAAAATTTTCTTTACCATCAGTCAATAAGGTAGATTTCTGTGTTAGTAATTTTATATTTTAATTTTCCAAAAAAAACCTACTTTACCATCAGTCGGCAAGGTAGATTTCTAGGTCGGTAATTTTTATATTTCAAAAAACCTGTTTCACCATCAGTCGGCAAGGTAGATTTCTATGTCAGTAATTTTTTATATTTTAATTTTTTAAAAAAATCCTATTTTACTATCAGTCGGTAAAGTATATTTCCAGATCGGTAATTTTTATTTTAAAAAAACTTCTTTTACCAGCAGTCGGCAAGATAGATTTTTAGGTCAGTAATTTATATATTTTTATTTTTCAAAATTTTTACTATCTGTCAATAAGGTAGATTTCTGTGCCGCTAATTTTTTATGTTTTAATTTTACAAAAACCTGTTTACCATCAGTCAGTAAGGTAGATTTCTATGTCGGTAATATTTTCGTTTATTTATTTTTCAAAATTTTTAATATATGTCGGTAAGGTAGATTTCTAGGTTGGTAATGTTTATATTAGCATTTTCCAAAAAAAACATGTTTTACCATTACTTGGTAAGGTAGATTTCTAGGTCGGTAATTTTTATTTTTAAAAAATTTATTATCAGTCGGTAAGGTAGATTTATATCTCGATAATTTTTATATTTTAATTTTGAAAATCGGATTTTTTAATTTACATGTATCACAGTGAAAATGCATTAGTCAATGAAATGAAATAAATTAATCTACCAATAAAAATGTTTGTTATACTAAATTTTTAAACCCAGGCAACAGTATTTGATAAAAAAAATCAATGTCCTTGAAAATGTAGTAATTAATTTTAAAAAAAAATTATCTATTATGTAATGTTTAGAGAAAAAAAAATATCACTAAGAAACTAACACACGAGATATGAAATGAAGTGATAAAATTTCTCTAGAAGATAATCATGATTTTGATGACCATATCGCTATCATAACAACACCATCATGTATGTATGAGTTCCTAAGAGCTTTCTTGCGTTTGCCTATACTATCTTTTACTAGAATATTATCCTCTCTCTCTCTATATATATATATATATATTTTGTAAGCACTAGACATATACTGGAATGGTACGTCTGCTATAGTGCTTCTGAAAATAATTTTATCCCATTGGACCAAAGTTGGACTCGAGCGTACAGTTGCAATAAAGGGAAACGACAAATTGCTTTAGTGCTCGGTTTTCATGTAATGTTTTATGTCGAATTTTTAAAATTAGAAAAAGTAATTCTCTTTTTTTTTAAAAAAAAAAAATAAAACACATACCTTGCTCGGGAACACCTTGGTTGATTTTTGGTTTACTCTGTCCATTGCCAGGTGTTTCTCTTCTGAGAGATTGTGCCGGTGGAACAAAGCCATTGGCAACTTGTGGTACACCAAGTGCTGAAGGTCCAAGATCTTGAACAGCAACCGCTGTACGATCCTCAGTGTAAAGAAGAAAACAAACTGTGATCCATATTGCGCCGCCCAACACTGCAATTTTCAACCACAGCGATCTTCGTCGTGGAAAAACCATTTTCTTTTTTTTCTATTTTTATTTTTTACTGTTAAATTACTCTCTTTTTTCGATTTTCACCTTTTTTTTCTCTCTTTCTTAACCTTCCGCTATCTTAGCAGCATCTTTTGACCTTCTTTTTTTCTCTCTCTCTCTCTCTTTCCTCTTGTTTACTCAGCAGCCACTCTTATCTCGTTAGTAGTAATAGTCTTTTCCTCGCAAAGTTTCAACTTCAGAATGCTAATTAAACCGCACAGAGAGATTTCTATTCAATTGAAATCATTTTCACTGGCAAACTTTCTGGTAGGCCGAATCATTTGATAGTGATCTTCGATTCGTTAAGAGAGATCTTTAGCACTCGAAGGATCTCCGATAGCATTCCATCGATCCTGCGATAAAAGCCGACTTCGAATTGAGCACTCGTAAAACATTCTCAAGGATTTCTCTCTACAATATATATATATATAGATATATATATATATATACACAGATATGTAGTTAATCGATTTCTGCACACAATTGAGCCTGTTACTTCTTTTTTGACACTTTTTAATTAATTATTATCACAGTGATTTTTTTTTTTGGCAATTTTTTTTTTCATTCCTTAGAATTTTTTTTCTTTTTATATAATTAAATTATCTGTGATATGAATAGTTTCTGAATGATATTTTTTATTGATAAATATGATTGACGTCCTCAATGATATATTTTTTTCCGTAATGTCACCGTATTCTTCTCATTATGGATTCTGGAACAAAAATTAATAATTATTATTATTTTGGCTGATATATAATTATTATATTATTTTTTTTTTTTTATTAATACTTATTTACTAAATATTTTTTTCCTTGACCTTTTTTAAAAAAATAAAAAAATAATTTATTATGTATTATTTTATATATTTTATTAAAAAATATATTTAATATTTATAATTATTTTTTATTTATTTTTGATATGAAATAGAAAAACTTTTAACAGATTTATATATACAAATTGATTAATGGATGAATTTTTTTACCTTAAAAAATAATTAACATTTTAAAAAAATAATAATAAATACCTAGGTAAATTAAAAATTTAATTAAAACTCGTCAATAATTAAATGTCTCTATCAAAATACTATTGTCAAGACTGATCAGTTTTGAAATTATTATAGAAAATGACACGCGTGAAAACAAGGTCATTAAACTTATTTCAAATAAAGATAGACGTTACGAATATTTTCTATCATTACGGAAATGAAGATAACAGTTACTAAAATATTTAATTAAGCATTTGTAATAAAATACAAAAGTTATTCATTCTTCAAATAGAGTTTATTTATAATTTATATAAAAAACTATTTGATTCAAGTAAATATTTATTTGATAATAAATTGATTATTTTGAAGCAAATAATTTTTTCCAGTATTTTTTAATTTTTTTTCAGTTTAAATATTATATATATATATATGAAGTGAGGTCAATAAATGTTAAATAATATGAGGGTAGTGTAGATTAAATTCTGTTTGATTTGACAAGTAAAATGATCTTTCAATTACTGCAGATGTCACAAAGGGAACAAGTATAAAATTAAACCATAATCAGATTTCACTCGCGCAGGTAATTCCTTGCGATTCCCAGGATATCCGGATTTCACACATCCATCGTTAATTAGAAAAATTAAATTATCACACACACACATATATATACTGTATGGTTAAATACTGGGAAAATTATAAATAAAAATACAATAAAATAAAAAACAATATATAAAACAATACATAATAGAAATATAATAAAATATATATAAAAAAAAATAATAAAATATAATAATAATAATATATATATAATAATAAATAAATAAATAAATAAATAAATATATATATATATATATATATATATATATATATATATAATGAAAATAATAATAATGAACAATGTGGAATTTTTTCTTATAAATGCATTAATCTTATTTTTTTTTTATTTTCCCATTATGACCTTTTCATTTATTTGAATAATTTATTTAAGTATTTTTCAATGCTCGCTCCTTGAATTTTCCGTCACGTACTCTTTCAAAAGATCAAATTCCACTCGAGTAACCTTTTACTATGGATGAAAATTCCAAAGAATATAACGGTATACCGATCAGTGTGTTATTCAGGAATTTTGTCAAAGCAAATAAATTCTCGCACATTTGAGAATCGATCGAGACACGTGTGTGCATTTGAATACGTTTGTTATATACATATATATATATATATAGAAAATAGAGAGTTATAGATTATGTGTATATATTTATATATAAAGCGTGTATCGCGATTTCCTGATGATGTTCGGACAGTACAGCACGTGCAATGTAAAACGTGCGTGTATTACTGTGCACCATGTACAGATTTCCAGAGATAATGTGTCACTGACACTATATGGGACGAGCTACTAATGAGAGAAAAGTGCAATTGCATGTTTGCGCTAAAGGCCGAGTTACGTAAATTCACATCGATTATGAATATATATATATATATATATATATATATATAGAGAGAGAGGGAAAAAAGAAAAAAAAAATCAATCAACGTTCGTAATCTCACGACAAGATTGTCGAAATATAAAAATTTTCAACGCCACGTTTATCGCTGTTAAAATTCCCTTGTAGGATGTTTTTTTTTTTTTTTATAAGATCAAGTTTCCTGGATATGATGCAAAGGAAGAACATGCGCATGTTGGACGATAAGAGTACAATTATACTTTTTTGTTGCATTTTTTTTTTTTTTTTTTGAGCAATTCAAGGGAAATATAATCACGACCTAGTCAAGTCAAATATAACATTGCTGTAAGAGTCTCTATAATTAAAATATTTAATATAGTAAAAAAATAAATTTGAAATGAAAAACAATTTTTTTTTTAGTAAAATTTAACTTTAGAATAAAAGGTTTTTAGTAATGAATTAGTATTTACTAAAATGTTTTACTATTAATTAAAAAAATGTTACTAAAAAGGAAAGACGAATCAGGTTCGTTAAAATTTTTACTTAGTACTCTCTAAATCTGAATTAGTAAAAATGTTTACTAATTTAAATTAGTGACTCACTTTTTGCTTTAGAATTAGTTAAATTTTATAAAAATTATCGCCATAGAAATCTACCTTACCAACTGATGGTAAAACAGGTTTTTTTGAAAATTATTATATAAAATTACCGACATTGAAATCTACTTTACCGACTGATGGTAAAATAGGGTTTTTAAAAATAAAAATAATTATCGACGTAGAAATCTACCTTACCGACTGATGGTGAAATAGGTTTTTTTTTAGAAAATTAAAATATAAAAATTACAGATATAGAAATCCACCTTACTTTCAGTCGGTAAGGTAGATTTCTGTGGCCGTAATATTTATATTTTAATTTTCCAAAAACCTATTTTACCATCAGTCGGCAAGGTATATTTCTAGGTCGTTAATTTTTATATTTTTATTTTCAAAAAAACCTGTTTTACCATCAATCGGTAAGGTAGACTTCTATGTCGGCAATTTTTATATTTAAATTTTCCAAAATTTTCTTTACTATCAGTCAATAAGGTAGATTTCTGTGTCAGTAATTTTATATTTTAATTTTCCAAAATTTTCCACTAAAAAGGAAAGACAAATCAGGTTCGTTAAAATTTTTACTTAGTACTCTCTAAATCTGAATTAGTGAAAATGTTTACTAATTTAAATTAGTGATTCACTTTTTGCTTTTGAATTAGTAAAATTTTAATAATTATTAGTAACTTTTACTAACAATTAGTAAAATTTAATTAATTCTAAAGCAAAAAGTGAGTGACTAATCTAAATTAGTAAAGATTTTTACTAATTCAAATTTAGAGAGTAAGTGGTTTTCAAAATTATTTTGAAGATAAAAATGTTTTCTATATATCCCTCCATATTTGTTGTCACATACAATCTCATAAAATTGTAAGATATTACAAGACAGCAGTAGGGCGGCTGTCAAGTTGTAACTCTATGGCTGACAGATAAGAATGTATGAGAACAATACTTTCAGTAAAAATACCATGTCTACAATTCCTTTATTCTCTTTTTCACCAAAAGCGCACATATTCCCTGGAGTTTAAGCGCGTTTGGTGCTTCAGCGTGTCGTCTCTCGTTGAAATGATTGAATATTTCAACGAATGTCTCGCTGATATCAGTTTATTCAAATGGGATACTTTTTGAATCATCACCCATATATATGTGTATGTATTTCCTTGAGAAAAATTCTTATATCGAAAAATGGTACCCCATCTCATATTTAAAAAAAAAAAAAAAAAAATTCTCTATTTTTGTTGAAATAAATTTTTTACTATTTTATATTCTGTATGGTCTTCATCTTTTATAAAAGATGGTTCGTGAGATAACTAATTTAATTGAGTTGATTTTTTTTTTCTTCACATATTTTTCTTTTTAAAGTTGTCAAGTTCTGAAGTAGTTAAAAGGTTGATGTTATAAAGGTGTCAAGAGACCCTTCAGCTCGAGACAATGTACTTAAAGAAATCATGTTATATACCTTCCTTCTTATCGGAATCAGCTAATTTCTACTAATTTTTAGACAGCTCTTACTAAAAACTTTAGTAAATAAGAAATATTACTAAAAATATATTTTTTATATTTTACTCTAAATTTCTAATTTTCAGTCAGTTTTCACTAAAATTTTAGTAAAATAAAAAGAAAAAAAAACATTACAATAATAATATTTTACTAAAAATATGTGAAAATTTTTACTAACTTTTAGAAATTTTTCTTTAAATCTTGAGTAAAAAAATTACTAAAAATAGAATTCAAAATAGAAGAATATAAATATTAAACTAATTTAAATTAGTAAAACATTTTAGTAATTTTTAGTTATTCTTTACTAAAATTTTAGTGAAAAAAGAATTACAATAATAATATTTTACTAAAAATATGTGAAAATTTTTACTAACTTTTAGAAATTTTTCTCTAAAACTTGAGTAAAAAAATTACTAAAAATAGAATTCGAAATAGAAGAATACAAATATTATAAATATTAAATATTAAATATAAATATTATTAAATTTAAATTAGTAAAACATTTTAGTAATTTTTAGTCATTCTTTACTAAAATTTTAGTAAAAAAAAACACATTACTATAGTAATATGTTACTAAAAATTAGTGAAAATATAAAAATTCATATTATCTTATCCTCAGTATTTATTTTTTTTAATGAATAAAAAAAATAGTTTTTAATTTTTTTTTTTTAACTATTCGCAAAATAAACTTTTAATTTTTTTTTTCTAAATTACTTTCTTGTGCACATCAGTGAGTCTTGCATGAGGGGGATAGGAATCTAACACTCGCCAGTCCTCGAATAGAGCATTAGAGTCAGGTTGGCAATGAGTGTTCGTAACTCGTGGAGTGCTTTTTCTTTCTCTTTTTTTTTCTATTGCCTGGAATGTCGAAAGGGCTTCCATTTTCCGGATAGGTAGAAGCCATACTATAGTATTGTCTCAAGTACTTTTTTATACTATATACTCTCTCTCTCTCTTTTTTTTTCTCTTTCTCCTTTATCCAGACTGCATATAGATACTACACATATATGTGTCAACAAAGAAGACAAATTAGTCTCAAGAAATATAATTAATCTTCCAAAAAGAAAAATTGGATTCAAAAATATTTGTTATTTATTATTAACAATTTTCCCCTTCTTCTTTTTTCTTTTTAAAATTTTTCCTAATGATAAATTTCAATTTAAAATTGGTTCCAAAAGTTTAAAAAATA